GCAGTGGTCAGATAACACAATGGCCGTGTAGATTAGACGAGGTACAGCTAACGCTTCTTCCCGAGAACGTTGAGGTGATTTAATACTTCCCGTCTTAAGCCCACACGCGCGCGCACACACTCACACGTACACTGTAACTGACATGGTGTGCCTTGGGGGGGGGGAGAAAAGTCCCCAGACTGTCTTCGCTTACTTTAAGTATCATCAAGTCTGTAAATGGCACAATGTCGCCCACGCTGGAATCTGTTGACATTTAGGTTTTTTGGGTCTGTTTTTCAATCAGGGCTTCGTAATTTAACCGACCCCCCCCTTTTTTTATTTTTTTTTGACCAAGAGGAACTTACTAAGAAAAAAAGCACAGTTGATGAATTAAAGTTCAAAAATACTGAGCACCAGACGTTTATTTCAGGTCTTTATTGATGCAAAAGGGTATTTCGCTTATTTCAGAGACGATACTGCGGCGCAATAACGAATTGAGGCGCGGCTTCGATGAGCGGAGGGATATTGGAACGATTGGTAGCATTGATGGGATTTGTTGCTGACTTTGAAACAACCAGGAAGTTAATGAGATCATTCAACATAATGGTTTTGACCCAAATAAATAAATAAATAAGAAATAATGCTATCACACCACTTGACTTGGTGGGTTCCAGTTTGAGCAAGCAAGCCATGCCAATCTCCTGAGAGAGCAGCATTTCATTTGAGGTTAATCCGGAACACCCCCCCTCCCCCCCCGACCCGATTGACATGGCGAGAGCGAAATAGGTCCCAAAAGAAGAGAACGGTTTGTGGAGTGAAGCGCAATCCAGCCTAATTAAAGCTTGTCGGGAATTCAACAAAGAGATGGCGTTGTAGGACAAGACGCGCTTGGCGACGGTTTCCTTTCAAGCATCCTGCCAAATTGTCAGCCAAACCCTCCCGAGTCGATTTCCACATTGTAAAGCGGTGCGGCTTCGCGCCTGCGGAAATGTTTTCCGACGACGAGCCGCCGCGCGTTTTAATCTCCCTCGCGTGTTGTTGACGTCGCGTGTGATAAAAGTTCTCCCCGCCCGACTTAACGGCGCGAACAAAAGCACGCCACAAAAGGTGAACGATGACAAAAAATGCAAATTGATGTGATTATTTCCGTGTTGTTCCCTCAGTGCTCGTGATGAATGGGACGGTCTGGCTCGGAGAAGGAGAACTTCCTTGACAAAGCGCGTGAATAACGAGGCCGCTTTACATTCTCGCCCCTGCCTCATCGACCTATCAGCGGAATCGCAGGAAGCCTTAGAAACTGCGGCTACAGACGCTGAAAAACGTGCAAACGCATCAGGCGGCTCTCTTTTGTTCAACGCGGAGACGGATGGATGTCCCGTTTCAGATTGACAGAACACGTTCATAAACTGCCCTACATTCTTTTCACCTTGCTATCGATTCCCCCAAAAACGAAATGACTGCTTGTACGAGGGTTGCGCCTTTTACATTTGCGGGAAATCCCATTTTCAGGGAAGAGCAAAGTATCGATCGGTTGAAAAGATACAGACATCAATCCGTATCACGGGGTGCGATACCATTCGTTCGTTTTTGAGCTAAAGTAGCTCTCATTTCTTGTAAAATAGTGGCAGGTTAGCCCTCGCCCGCGCCGCCCTCAGCCTGTATGGAGAGAAGTTCGAACGGCTTCGAAGCCAAGAGCAAAGTGCCGCGCGAGTGTTCCGAAATGGCCGAGGCAGCGGGGCCGGGGGAACGATCGACGGCGTGACGGCTCATCTCGAGCCGAACTGCTTTTTGCTTCCGTTCGGGGACGCCGGGCGACGGAGGCGACTCTCCGGGGAAATGTCGGCGCTCCGGGCCGCTGCGCGGATGACTGCGCGAAGGACGTAGGCAGCCGTTAAAGCTCAGAACACGGGGGGAGTGTGCTGAGCGGACGTTGCTGCGATACACCTGACTAAAAATAAGCTGGCAAGCTAGGAAGAAGAAAATGAAGTACCTGTCAAGTGAAATCGGAGATTTGTTTCTAAATTCAGCACAAAGCTTTCGACAATAATTGTTGAAGGCACGGGCGAAGGCCGAACTATTTAACAATTGTGGAAATGTAACGTGGTAGATATGGCGTATAGCTTCAGAGCGCCTCATTGTCAACCATGAGTGCTCGCATGTTACGGAGACGAGGCAGAAGGGCAAATCGACAAAAAAGAAAAAGTGTAAACCTTTCAAAAAAATAGTTCAACTTTATGTCCTGCAAAAACAATGCAGCAGAAAGGTGCCGGGCTTTTTTGTTTGTTTTAACACTTTGAAAACCAAACGATACTGTGTGAAAAAACAGAGTGTCACAAGGTGGTCCAAATCAATACCTGTACTGAAAAACAACTACTTTTTTGCTGGGCTAGCTGGCCTTTAAAATGTCACGAGCAAGATGACCACTCAGGTCTGATTTTAGCCGGTAGACTTTTGTCGAGTCGCTTCAAAATTCAATGCCATATGCCGCAATCAAACATGAGCCGAAGCTGTCGGTGCCTCGAAAGATTGAGCTCGGACCTTTGTCGCAGTCGGACTTAATTCGCCCCTCGCAACAAAGCGCAAGTGCTTATCGTGCGTTTGGTTTTGAATCCGACAACAGATCTACCTTCATATCGGCGAGCTTTCAGAGCTCAACTTCTTGGCTTCCTTTAATCGTGTGAACAGACTTCAATGCACTCTGAAAGCCTCTTTATGCACTCGGGCAAGAAGCAGCCGCCGCCGCCGCCGTCTTCTTCTTCTTCTTCTTTTTCTTTTATATATGAAGATAAAACCCGGCTGGTAAGCCAATATGTGAGAATAAAAATCTCCCAAGTAAAGCGCCGAACTTAAAGCCTCTGCGGATTTGCAGTTGTGATGCCATCAAATGTGAAAAAAAAAAATGGTTTCATTTCACAGTCTGTGTTACAGTATTTGTTTTGGAGCGCGCAAAAAGATCCCTGCGGATGCCCGCCCCTCTCAGGACCCAGACGCCTTTCTATACTTGAACATCCAACACTGGTCATTAAACCCATGCGTCTTTTCTGGCATTTTGTTCATAAATGTGGTTGTGCAGTCAACCAATCGCACATTTTTCAGGAAAACAAATACATGCACCCCCTTCCCTTACGTTCTAGTCTCATCCGCGATAGGTGGACAGGTGAAAATCTTTTAAGTGAAGCGACAGACAATACTCAATGATCATTTGACAGTTTGAGCCCTGCGAGTCCTGCGGGACTCGCTGATCAGAAAAGTCGGAGTCCCGTTCTGCATTTCGAGAGTCCCAAATTTATAAGAACACAAACAACAGCAATATACATTGATCATAGGTTTATTTCTTATAAACTGCAAAAATTTAAATAATTCAGGCATACAAGATTTGCTGAGAAATAGGTTCTTATCTCATCCCGTGGTTCAGTCTTTTGAGTTCATACCTCCGCAATAAACTTCGCAAACACTTGTTCGCAACACTTGTTTTAACGTTAGCCTGCTTTCCGCGAGGTGAAGGCCGATTTTCGTCAATCTCGTCTCGCCGGAACGGAAATCTCGTCACGGGAGATTACTTAACGCGAGATAAAAACAACAATGGCCGCGCTCGTTGCTGGAAAAAAAAGATTTACCGTGTTTTTTTTTTTTTTTACTGAGAAATTTCCTTGCGTCCCAAAAACCCACATTATTTGGAACCGTGCGTCTGGCGGCAAAATGATGCGTCTCGGACGCGGGACGCAGAGGGAACGAGATGGCTGAATACTCACAGATTTTCTTGGTCCTTGACAACGAACGATTTCTAAGTGCGGTTTACCGAGTCACTTCTTGTACTTGCGATTGTGTTCTTTGTATTTTCATGGCCGTATTATACCGTCCCACACACACATTACTTCGGTTTTTGCAACACGTGAGGCCGAAACATGAAATCTGAAGTTCCATTGTACATTTTTTTTTTTAACCAGTTTCGTCTGATTTTTACAGGAAAATTGTGTCAAAATGCATAACTTTTAATGATTAACTGTCAGTATTTCAATTCGCGTCTGGCAGCCAATCCGCCACTTTTATTTCCTTGCGTTCTTAATGCTCAGTGCTCAGCTGTACTTGCGCGTCTGATTTATTTATCTCCAGTCGTCTTTGTTCCTATGTTTTGTACTGGGCTCCCGTGTCTTCGCTGATGGAATACGTGTCTTGTCAGGCCAAAAAAAAAAAACAGACGTTGACATCCCGCAAGACAATAGCTTTCCTTTTTGGGCCGACGCAGCTAATCTGGCGTTGCATCCGAACACGACAGCGAACGTCACAACCGGAAGACACACACACACAAAGTGATCTGCGGATCCCAATGAGTATTCCGCTTATAGGAAGTGAAAATAGGACAAAATATTGAGTGGGGCCACACTCGTTTTTCAGCTGTAACGGCTTCCATTGTGACTTTTGCGCCGAAGACAAAGCAAAGGCAGCAGAAATGGCGAGCGTGCTCTGCAACTGCACCCAAAAATTGCTGACGTCTTTCCTATATCTGGAATCATAGCCACTGGGTTAGAATCACACTTGAAGGCCACTGCGACACATGCAAGTATTTTTTTTTTAACCCCCCCTGCACCCCACAAAAAATCTCATCACTTTATTCTCATTTCAATGATTCTATTCCTGACACCAGAGCCTACACGGGCACCAAATAAGTGGAAATAACAAGAAAGAAACTGCCGGTATGATGGAATGTGAAGCGCATTCACTAAACCACCGGTGTCAAAGTCGAGGCCCCGGGTCCAGATCCGACCCGCCACCTCATATTATGCGGTCCGCGAAAGCATATCATGCGTCATCTTCAATGATCCTTGCTAAAATCTGTCCCCAAATGTCAAACGGTCATATTCAAGAATGCTGACATTTGGCAAGAAATGCGTTACCGTGTTTCCATCCTCTTGAACAAACAGCAAGTAGTTGGCTAGTCATCCATCAATTTGTTGTGTACAAGTAATTGTCCGATGTGATGGCGAAACGCGGATTTAGTTTCGGTGTCGTAACGGCCCTCCGAGGGAAGACGTCACTCCGAAGGGGCCCGTGACAAAAATCACTTTGACACCCCTGCACTAAACAATCCTCCCACGAGTCAATTTGAAAGTGGCTGATTAAATGCCTCGCGCAGAGGATGAATCTCCGTTGACAAGGTGAATATTTTATGCTTCGCGATGAATTGAATAGACTGACGTTCAGCGGCGGGTTCCCGTCCGAGGCGCGTCAAGGCAAAGCTAAATCTTGCCATTTTTGGGAAGGCCTCAAACATCTCACGTCGAGTGGTCTCCGAGGAACAGAAGCCGAAAAGACATTCTCGCGGCGGGCGGCGTCCCGCAAAGGTGATGACTTTTCAAAACGGAAGATTATAGAGCCCCCCCCCCCCCCCTTCTCCGCGGT